GGGGCGTGGCCCCAGTCGTCGGAGGGAAACCCATAGAGTTTTCCCTCCGACAATCGGGGCCACGCCCCCAACGTGATCGATGTGGTTGCGTCACCTCTGGTGACGCAGCCACACTGCACTTCGGGGGGGGGGAGTTCCCCCCGGGGCCCAATTCCACGGCGGTGGAAATCGGGCCTCCAAAATGGGGGTTTACCCACCCCCCGACCCCACTTGGCAGCCCTACCACCGCATAGGGTGGGAGATACCATAGAGAAAGCATGGGCTCTGGTCGATGCCAGGCAGGCTGCCTTAATCAAGGGAACAGCCTGTAGTAGGTGGCAACCTGAAGACTGCAAGGAGCACAAGTGTGGGCTCCTGTTTATTTGTCTGCGTTACTTTATAGTCCACCTTTCTCATTGAGGCGGATTATACCTTAAGTCAGTACAATCAACGGGGTGGGGCATCCACTACACAAAGCCATATGGTTTGGGTTGCAGAAATCTGAAAACAGAGTTGAAACAAAGACTAAGCATTAATATGACTCATCAAACGATGCAGAAATTACATAATACAGCAACAGACAACTTACCGCAACAGACAGTGCATACTATGCACGGTAGCATAGTTCACAGTCCCTATCCCTATCATGAAAGCATCTTTCTGACGATGTCTTACAACATCTTTCTGACTTCCTCCATTTTATTCTTAACTCTGTGAGGTGGAAGAGTCGGATCTGAGTCCAGTAGCGGCACCTTAGAGATCAACAAGATTTTTGTGGTATGAGCTTTCGAAAGTCAGAGCTTCCTTTGTCAGATACTTTTACTCTTGAAAACATATACCCACCAAACCTTGCTGGTCCTCTAAGGCGTTGCTGCTGAATTTGAATCTAGTCCTTCTGCTGCGGACCAACACAGCTACCATCTGAGACCACCTGTGAGGTAGGGCAGACTGAGAGAGTTATTGACAGAGCTGACAACCCCCAGGCGGTGGCTGGCGATCTCCTAGGATTACAAATGATCTCCAGGAGACAGAGATCAGTGTTCACCTGGAGAAAATGGCCACTTTGGAAGGTGGACTCTATGGCATTAGACCCCATTGAAGTCTGTCCCCAAACTCCACCCTCTTCAGGAAGTCCACCCCAAAAATCTTCAGGTATTGCCCAACCTGGAGCTGGCAACCCTAATTGATTCAAGGTCACCCAGTAAGCTTTTATGGCAGAGTGGGAATTCTCAGATCCCAGTCCAATGCTCTAATCACTGCAAAATTAGGGTTGCCACCTCTGGGTTGGGAAATACCTGGAGAGTTTGGAGGTGGAGCCTGGGGAGGGGAGGGCAGGGTTAGGGGAGGTGGGGTTGCCAGGTCTGGGTTGGAAAATACCTGGTGAGTGGTGACTTTGGGGGTGGAGCCAGGAGAAGGCATGGCTTTTGAAGGGGAGGGGCCTCAACATAGTACAATGCCATAGAGTTTACCCTTCAAAAGCCATTTTCTCCAGGGGAGCTGATAGCTGGAGATCAGTTGTAAAAGCGGGAAATCCCCAGGGCCCACCTGGAGGCTGGCAACCCTAAGGGGAGGGGAGGGAGCTCATAATGCCATAGAGTCCATTCTTCAAAGCAGCCATTTTCTCCAAGGGAACTGATTCTTGGTCATCTGGAGATCAATTGTAATAACCTAAACATGCTAGTTCTCCACTCCAGAGTAACATAACTTGTGGCCTACTGAGCCTAGGCTGCAAAGTGTTTTAAAGATCATATCCGGAACCTTAGAAGGAAAGGTAAGCTGAAGCATGGCAAGTAATCATGAATTACAGAGGCATATTGAAGATGCTTGTAGATGAAACACACTGTGCAATAACTTTTAATCAGAACTGATTCCAAAGCGAGGCTGCATAAACCTGGATCATTGCCAGCACTACTTAACAAACAATAGCAACTTATTGTGAACATGGAGATGGTATTTAATTTGTGATTTAAAATACGGTGAGTTTAATTAATTATCCACCTCCATTGCTTGTTATTTTAAGAGCTTATACGCCCCTTATAGTCTTTCAATCCTTATCTATATTGTTTATGTAAGAGCCAGTTTGGTGTAGTAATTATGTGTGGGGACCAATGCTCCCTCTAAACTGTGGAGACTTTTGAGCAACAATTCTACTTTGTGAGTTACTGGCCTGTGTAAAGTTTGCTCTGGAGCCATCCTTCCTGACCTAAGACAAAAATGTGTGAGCCGGAGGCTAAAAAACTGTGAGCTAGCTCACACTAACTCAGCTTAGAGGGAACATTGGGGGGACTCTAATCTGGGAGAACCAGGTTTGATTCCCAACTCCTCCACATGCAGCTGCTGGATGACCTAGGGCAAACCATAGTTCTGTCAGAGCTGTTCTCTCAAGAGCAGTTCTTGAGAGAGCTCTCTCAGCCCCACCTACCTCACAGGGTGTCTGTTGTGGAGAGGGGAAGGGAAAAAGAGATTGTAAGCCACTCTTACAAGGATACTGAAGGGCGGGGTATAAATCCAATCTCTTCTCTTCTCTTCTCTTCTAAGTCTTGGACATTTGGGAATAATTCTAATTGAACTCAGTGGAATTTACGTCAGAGTAAACATGCATTAGATTGGCCTGCAATGCATTTCAGTATCATTATGGAAAACTAATTAACTTTAGTTAACAAATATATATATTTGTGTAGTGATGAACTACTGTTTCAGAAATAATGGAACACACTGTATTTACAAACTGTCACAACCTCAAATATCCTTCATGTACTTCTAAAGGGTTAATAATGGTTCGTCTCCAGGCATGATGGGAGTTGTAGGCATGGAGCTTCATGGGAATTGTAGTCAGCTTCGGCTCTTTTCCCTTCAGCATGGCTGCCTCCTGTAAGGTAAATTATTTTGCTTTAATCTGCTACGTTTGGTACTGCTAAACGAAACAGCCTAGAAGTCCCAACAGCTTAACACAGGGGTTTAATATATAATGCGAAAGTATTGATGATTTTTAAACCAGCGTTTAAACTCAGGCTACTGAATAAATATAACATTAGCAGGAGCGCCATTGGTTTGATCGTCCCAGTGGTGCATATTTAAGTTAGTACTTTGAGTATTGCAGCGGAAAAGACTCTTCTTGTATTTAACAGTTCCTGATTCGAACTTGCTCATGATGTTTATTGGGTGCGTGTGGTGGTGGGGTATAATTGGGCAAAAAGGGTGATTCAGCTGTCTTTCCAAAGATACGTTCGTGTGTGCGTTTTAAAAAAATGGGAACACTCATGATATTACTGTAATCAGGATATTTGCTATGCACTAATGAACTAGAAGTTTTAAGGAAGAAACCTGAAAAGTTTCATAAGATTACTATGAGGCATAGAGGATTAATACTGCATACATCTGATGAAGTGGAATCCAATCCAGAAAATTTTATGCTGTAATAAATCTGTTAGTCTTTAATATGGCTGTGAGACTCTCTTTGTCCGTGTGTGCGTTTTAAAAAATGAGAACACTCATGATGTTACTGTAATCAGGACATTTGCTGTGCACTAATGAAGAAACCTGAAAAGTTTCATAAGATTACTATGAGGCATAGAGGATTAATACTGCATACATCTGATGAAGTGGAATCCAATCCAGAAAATCTTATGCCGTAATAAATCTGTTAGTCTTTAATATAGCTGTGAGACTCTCTTTTGGTGTGTTTGCAATCTTGCAACCCAGCGGAGATTCAAGAGACCCGCTAACCAACCTATCTAAATATCTTTCATTTGCTACCTTTCATTTGCTACCTGAAGTTTACTGATCAGCACCAAATATGAAGGAATTTGTTTCCAAGAAATTGTGAATAGGATCAGGGCCCAAGCACAGGGTTGAGCGGTGGACAGGCATGGGAACACTTTATCAGAGGTCAGCCAAGTCTGTGATCACTTCTCCGTGGTAAGGTCAAATAATGCCATCTCAAAAATTAAGCAGACATTTTTCTTTTATGACTTATTAAACTGTATGTACATAGGACTGGCTTTGTGCTGGGCTTAGAGGAATGATTTCAGTACTGCATAGTAGTGTAGTCCTAGGGTGACCCAGATACAAAGGGGAGTCTTTACTAGTTGTGAAGAAGAGGGGATTTAATTTTGTGCTGCTTTTCTCATCCTTACATGAGTCAAAAGGCCCTCTTCTGTACAGCTGCTAAAGGTACAATAGCCCCATCTTTCTGTGCATGAACTTGCTCTAACACAGGAGCTACATTAATGCTGAATTAGTCTGTTTGCCAATCTGTTGTGCTCAGTATACTGTCTACTTGGAGCCGCAGCTGTTCTCCAAGGTCTTGTGCAGAGATCTTTGCCTGCCCTGTTACTTGATATCTTTATGTGGACATACCGCAGACTGAATCTAGAACATTATAGGTGCAATTAAGATGGCAAAAAGAAAGGCAAAAAGTAGCATTTGTGAGGGGTGATTGCTGTAGAATGTCACCATATGTGGGCAGAAGCTTTGCAAATCTGCACCTTCTCATCCACATGGTGTACAAATCTGCCTTGACAGTGATAATTCCAGAAATCAAAGCAGGGCAAATGTTGAAATGTACACAAATGTCCAACAGTATTATGTGGATGCTCTGAGAAAGACTGTTCCAGTTGGGGCACCAAGGCAGAGCAAAAAGCCATGTGGAAGGAGCCTTTGATGTATTAGCAGGCAGATGTTGAGATCTTTAAAAAGGCCGAACCTTTTCATTTAGGTGATGATTATAACCAAGCTGTCTTTTATACTTCTGTGCCCGGAAACTAGGAATTAACAGAAATGAAAAGTTATTCAGGTGGGTAACCATGTTGGTCTGAAGCTGCAGAACAAATTTTGAGTCCAGTGGCATCTTTAAGAGCAACAAAGTTTTATTCTGGGCATAAGCTTCCGTGTGCACGTACACTTCTTCACAAAAGCTTATTCCCAGAGTAAAACTTTGTTGGTCTTAAAGGTGGCACTGGACTCAAAAGGAAATGAAAAGTGTTAGGGAAAAAATTATAAATGGGTAGAGTGCACCATCTGCTGGTACACAGGCTCATAGTCTAGGTTTTAACAATACACCAAGACGTTGCTTTAAAGGTTCCCTTGCTCGAAAGCCAGTCGAATCCGACTCTAGGGTTGCGGTGCTCATCTCCGTTTCAAAGCCGAAGAGCCAGCGCTGTCCGAATACGTTTCCGTGGTCATGTGGCCGGCATGACTAAACACCAAGACGTTGCTTTGGGGGTAACAAAAGAGTGAGAATGGATCACACTGTGACATCCAAGCTGTGCAGTGCGGACCCATGTAGGTTTGCTTTTAAATAAATCCTAAAGTAAAAAGGCTCATGATAATTGCTTCCAGAAAAAAATCTTTCTTTTAACCACATCTCCTCTTGTAGGTATTGAAACCAGTAACCAGCAGTGGGTCACATAACTAGCTTATCCCTTGCCAGAAGGTTTGGGAAGGTGATCAATGCATTAAACAAGATAAAATGCAACCCTAGGATGTGCATGCTTTGCTCTGAAGCACCTGCAACCCAATTTGGTGTCAGGATAACCAAGCATCTGTCCCAAGAGCAGCTAGGTTATGTCCCTTGCATAATTATGCAAGTAAAACCTACGTTCCAATCCTTAAAGATAGTTCCAGGTGGTCAGTGATGTTGGTCTGAAGCAGTAGAACATGAAAGTTCATACCTTGAATAAACCTTTGTTGGTCTTAAAGGTGCCACTGAACTCTAAATTTGTTCCCATCCTTATTGCTCGTGTCTTATTCAGCTTCTGCCAGTCACAAGAGGATGGAAAGAGCGATGGAGGACACTGATGTTGTTTCCTCTGGACCCTGGAAATCCTTCTTCACTATCTCGTCTAGCTTCTGAGATTTTCCTGTAGATAGTTCACAAATGTTCCAGGCTGCCTTGGCAGTTTTCAGGGCTTGACAGATTTTTAGAGTGCTGGATTCTGTGCCTGATGGCAGTTTTTGCATCTGAGTGGCAGGATTGCTGAATCCCAAAATATGTTCTGCCAGAACCGGAACAACTTAAAAATAATTGTAATCATAGTTCTTAGCAGACCTACTGTGTAGAGATGGGAAGGCCCAGGAAAAAACCCGGAAACATTGGGGGGGGGGACATCCCCCCCATTTTTTTCTGGAAAAATTGAAAAAATGGATTATAGATTATTTTCTTTTACAATGATAAAATAACATGTTTATGACAAGGTGTTCATATATTTAATCCTCCAATATTATTTCTAAAAACTATGTAACATGAAGACTTTATGTAAGACTATGTAAAGTATCAAATCATTGCAATTCTTGCACACTGAGGATAAGCAAATGCTGCCAGAAATACGATTCAAATACCGAGAAAATACTGAGGATACAAATTCTCAAATGCAAGAGAAAGATGCATTTCTGTCTCCAGTGGGCACCGCAGTTTGTCCAAGAGAAGGAAAAAGGCTTCAGTTTCCTTTTTGGTTGTGGGCTTCATCTTGTTGGTATAGTCGGTGGATTTATTACTGTCCTCTCAGCTGTTGGTGCTATGGAAGAGTAGATGGATTAGAGGAGATGAAATAATGTTCTTAGTTTAGTTATGATTATGGTTTCTTCGGTTTTTATCCCCCCCCCCCGCTCTCTCAAACTGGCAAAAGAGGTTCCTTATAGTTCAGGTGTTCTTTACATTTCAGGACCTTGTAGTTCCATTTGTAACAAAAACTAAAATTTTAAAAAGTAAATTCAGTTTGTTACTATTTTCTGAATAAGCTGTACATTTACTATATCAAGCATTATACTTCTGTGCCAGGCCAATTTACACTGCATTTTATGTTCCCAAAGTAACTAAGTGACTTTTAATCTGTAAAGAATATTAAAATTTCAATTTTTCTGAGAATTTCTGGGTTCCCCCCCCCATGGCTTCAAAAATTCCAGAAATTTTACTTGTCTAGCACTGTGCATTTCAAATGTTCAAAGGTTCCTCCTGTTGATGATCACTAATCATTACAGAAGTCCTGTAAGGTAGGCTAAATGCAGTGATCCTTATGTTTAGCATTTTGACCCTTGAATTTTGAGCCTTGAAGGCAGGGCAGTTCCGCTGTTGTGGCACAGTGACTTCGAGACTGTGCTGAGAAAGACTTTATTTATTTACAATCTGGATTTATGAATCCCCCAATCCCTGTGAATAGTCAAGGCTCTGAGCAATAAACATCAATAGAAACACATATAATAAAAGCACGTATCATGATAAAACACTTGTTAAAACCATTTTTTTCAAATGGTGCTAATACATTGTATTTCAGACTGTGTCATCACCTTGTGGGAGAGGTAGGGAGAAAGCATGAACGACAGCCTAGATGGTGCCCATCGCTGTCCTCAACCAAAAGCCTGGTGGAACATCTCTGCCTTACAGTAGATTTTTGTAGGCAGTTTCAGTAGATTTGTAGAAGTTATGATGGAGTGTGGGGGAAAGGCTGTTGTGTAGTTTTTCCTCCTTCATAACGACACACAACAATATCTGGAACTTGCTATCCTTTTCTTAAAGAAATTTTGCAGGTGGTTGTTTCTTTCTTCCAGTGGCCTCTCATGACATATTCAACATGGAAATAGACAGTGTCAGAAAACCGAACCAGAAACTCAGTAAGACGGAAAAGAAATTGCGACAGAAACAGGTGAAGGCCAGAAATACCTTACTGAGGCATGAGGGCATTGAGTGTGTCTCGTCACCTACAAAGGTAACTTGAAGGTCTGGTTGTTGTTCTCCTTATGGTGAATATGAGTTGTGCAGTATGATCCTGGGCCTGTTGAATCAGAAATAAGTCCCACTGATTTCAGTGGGTCATACTCCTTAGTCACTGTTCATAGGAATGCAGCTTTATGAATTTTCTGTAGTCTGGGGTAGGCCATGAGAAAACCTTTAAAGGCCTTCATGGGCTAGGAACTCATACCTGAAGAACTGCATCTTCTTCATGAGCACACTTGCCGTTGTGCCCCTTTTTCTTGTGTAGGAGTCCTTATTACATGGGACAGCCTCACGGTAGCCATGGCAGCCATGAAGTCGCAAGATGAACCAGGCAAAAGGGGGCTTGGTATGCTTGTATTATAAATTGTGAGCCTTCCAGCAGTAGGGCCCACAAGGCCAGTTCACCATCCAAGCCACCTTCACACTTGAAATACAAAACCAGCAGGGGGTGCCGATGTAGGAGAAGGCAACAGGTATGGTGCACTTGTCATTGTTTCTTGTGGCACTGTTGCTGCTGCAGGAGTCCAAGGCTTTGGGTGGATCCCAGGAAGCTTGATAGGAAGGCATGATGAGCCTTCTGTGCCGCCACCCATCCCCAGTCCTCCATCCAATGCAAACTATGGTGGTGTTTCCTCTGCATCTTGCCTTGGAACCTGGAATTGATCTCATGACACCACCTCCGTCTACACAGCTAGAGGGTCTGTGGGGCAGCTATGGAGATGCAAAACCAACAGAATCCACAGTCTTTCTCTGGAACCCAGGACAAGGAACACAGCATTAAGGCCAGTTGCTATCTGCACTGAACATCTGAAAGATGTTGGCTTGAATTCCACAAGCTGCCAGTGGAAAGTGTTGACAGTCTGGGATCTTTCCTGCCCTCCACTATCCCCTGGAGCCATTTCTAATTCCAGGAAAGTTTATTCCCAGGGAGGAGGAACTGGCGTGTACTAAGAGCTGCGGTGGTTGAGTGCCTGCAGCAGGGAGGATTAAAGGAATGAAATTGCCCTTTTTGGCAGCTGTTAGTATTTATTTAATTTATTTAAAAGAGTTCTGTGCTGCCTTTCCATCCAAATAGGGTCCCCACGGCAGCGAGCATCAAACCATTAAAGCCTTTCAACATTAAAACATTTCAAACATCAGAACCGTGTTTAAAATGCGTGCATACATATATGACATTTTAAAAACAATTAAGTAAAACCAGAGGTCATTTCGGGGGGGAACGTGGGGGATCACAGTTCCCCCAGGTGAGGTACAGGGGGCGGGGCACATAACGAAGCCCCGCCCCCTGCTTCCGGTCGCCCCGCTTCCGGCCCTCATTCAGCCAGGAGGAGGCAGGAGAAGAGGGAGGGTAAGTTGCTTCCTCCCT